TGGGGCCGGTCTGCGCGCTGAGCCGCTCCGTGTCCCTCCCTCCAGGTCGCCGGCACGCGGGAACCCAGCGGCGCTCCTCCATCGCCTCTTCGCAGTGATCCAGACCCATGACCGCTTTCCTCTTCAGGAGACCCCGGCAAATCCTGCCCCTGCGCCTCCTGCGTTTTCTTCTCCATCCTGCGGATGCCCCAGACTCCTCTCCAGTTCCCTCAGCTCTTTGGTTTTGGTTTTTGTTGGAGACAGTCTTGCTATGTGGCTCAGGCTGGCCTTCCTCCTGCTGATTCCCCCGCCTCAGCCTCCTGAGTGTTAGGATTACAGGTGTGCGCCACCGTGCTGAGCTCCTCCAGCTTCTTTTTTGGGGAGGGTACTGCGGATCGAACGCAGGACCTTGAAAGCTTGCGAGGCAGGTGGAGGCACCGGAGCTACAGTCTGGGTTCTTTTCTTTTGGAGGGGAGAACAAGGTCTCACTGTAGCGCAGGCTGGCCTTGAGCTCACTGTGTAGCCCAGGCTTGCCTCAAACTCGAGGTGATCCGCCTGCCTCAGCCTCTGGAGTGCTGGGATTACAGGTGTGGGCCACCACGGGCTCTCCCAGCTCTTAACTCTCCCTTCCGCCAGGACTGAGGTGCAGAGGTCCAAGGGGAGAGCTGCCAGCACTGGGCCCACAGCCCTGCCTGTCCTCGAACTCCCCCCCTCCCAGCCCCAGGAGGCCGAGGCCACCAGGCCTGAGAACAAGACCTCAGGTCTGATTCTGGTGCTTGTCAATTACGTGCTTCCGCCAGCTCGTGCCCTGAACACCCTTCCTCATCCAGTAAACCCCTGCTCGACCCAGTGGCCGTGGGTGGGAGGCAGAGCCACTTAAGTTTTGATGGAATTCACTTTGAAGGGGGCTTGAAAGGAGACACGAGACACAGGAGTGCGAGGCCACGGACTTTACTGGGCAAGCCAGGGCGACCCTGATCCCCGCCTGGAGCAGGGGCATCGGGGCTCAGGAGGGCTTTTTCTGAGTGATGCAGGCGTAGTCGGTGCTGGCGTCCTCCTCCGCGCCACCCCTGTCACTGTGGCCACGTGCCACCGGCAGCCACTGCAGCGAGGCATAGTGGGGCCCGGGCTCCTGGGGCTGGGCGGGCAGAGGCGCTGAGAGGGCCCTCACCCAGCCCTCCTGACCGCACCTGCCACCTCCTCTTCAGTCCCCCTGCCCGGCCTTGGGGACTGCACCCAGGGCCTCCACACTGAGCTACACCCCAGCCATGTTTACATGTTTTATTCTGAGCCCGGGTCTTACTTTCTCAGTTGCCCAGGCTGGGCTCCAACCTGCACCACTCCTGCCTCAGCCTCCCGGAGCACTGGGATGAGTGGGGACTGGTGGGGTGCGCCGCTACGCCTCTTTGTTTCTCTGGAGCCCCGGAGGCACCCCGCACCGCTCTTGTTCTTCTCTCCCTTTCTCCCCTCTTGTTTTCTCACTTTTTCTTTTCCCATTTGCCTCTCATTTCCCTAGTTTTCCATCTGTTTTTCTCTCCTTTCTTTCTTCCCTGCCTTGTTTCGTGTTCCCAGTTCCAGGCGCTCTCTTCCCTCCCTCTTCCCTCTCTCGCTGTCCCCCGCCCCCCCGCCCCCCCCCCCCCCC